CAGCTAGAAAATACTGGCAAATTTTGAGGATCAGCTAGAAAATACTGGCAAATTTTGAGGATCAGCTAGAAAATACTGGCAAATTTTGAGGATCAGCTAGAAAATACTGAGGCATACTGGGGGTGGAGCTAGGAAATATAAGGGATAAGATAGAAAATATTAGGGTTGAGCTAGAAAATACTGGGGATGGGCTAGAAAATAATAGAGATAAACAAGGAAATATTTAGGATGAGCTACAAAAAAATTGGGGATGAGATATAAAAGTCTGGGGAATATTGGGGATGAGCTACAAACTATTGAGGAGTGGCTACAAAATATTGGGGATATGATTTTAAAAAATATTGTTGAAGAGCTAGAAAAATATTAAGGACCTAAAAATTAAAGATATTGGGAATAAATGTTTTGCGTGAGGTACAAAAGTCTTGGAAGTTTTGTGGAGGACCTAAACATTATTGGGGATGAGCCAGAAATTACTGGGGATGAGTTAAAAACTACTGGAGATGAGCTAGAAAATATTGAGGGACACGAGGGATGGAACTAGAAAATATTAGGGATAAGCTAGAAAATAGTGGGGAATGTTTAGGATTAGCTAGAAAATGCTGGGTATGAACCAGAAAATATAAGGGATGAACTAGAAAATATTAAGGAAAAGCTACAAAATACTGGGGAAATGCTAACAAATACGGGGGACAAGCTAACAAATACGGGGGACAAGCTAACAAATACGGGGGGTGAGCTTACAAAAGCCTGGGGATGAGCTCGGAAGTATTAGTGATGAACTAGGAAATACTAGGGATGAGTTAGAAAATATTACGGATAAACTAAAAAATAATAGGAATGAGCTAGAACACACTTGAGATGACCTAGAAAATACTGAGGATGAGCTAAAAAATATTAGGTGTGAGGTAGAAAATACGGGTGATGGAAAAAAAGATTGTGGATGGGATGGAAAAATTAGGGGAATATTTGGTATGGGCTAGAAAATATTGGGGATGTGATGAAAAATATCGGGGATAAGCAAGAAAATATTACGGGTTTAAAACATTGGGGATGAGCAAGAAAATATTAGGGGTTTAAAACATTGGGGATGAGCAAGAAAATATTACAGGTTTAAAACATTGGGGATGAGCAAGAACATATTAGGGGTTTAAAACATTGGGGATGAGCAAGAACATATTAGGGGTTTAAAACATTGGGGATGAGCAAGAAAATATTACGGGTTTAAAACATTGGGGATGAGCAAGAAAATATTACGGGTTTAAAACATTGGGAATGAGCAAGAAAATATTAGGGGTTTAAAACATTGGGGATGAGCAAGAAAATATTACAGGTTTAAAACATTGGGGATGAGCAAGAACATATTAGGGGTTTAAAAC